GGCACCCCCCTCTGCTTAGGCCTGTAATGGAAATGTGTAATTAAAGAGTCACATTTATGTTTGGTAATCTCCTGTAGCATTTCTAAGATTTCCCCACTAATATCCAATCAAAAAGGTTTTCATTTGTGAAGCGAAATCTACATATTTGTAGTAATGGCAATCATATTAAAAATAAGGCCCTGGGGACTTTTGAAGTTACTCTTTGATTTTTTTTTCTCTACCCCTATTTCAAAAAAAAAAAAAAAACTGATTTTTTTTCCCCTCTTCTGCAGTCCGGCCTAGAAAAGAGCATAGAGAGGGCCATAGCTGAAGGGGACATTGCAAAGGCGGAGGAGATGAGCGACAGACTCGCCACTCGAGAGGTACGTTGTGCTGATAAGAGATCTTTGGGGTGCTCCCGCTGTGACAAATCAGGCTAATGGATCCGTGGCCATTTCTGCTGCAAAGACATAGAGGAACAAAAACACACGCAGACATCCACCATTCAGTCCTGCAGCTCTTTTCCATTGAGTTAATGGAAAGCCCTCCCCTTAGTTTTGAAGTGCGGCAGTGTCTAAAGGACTTTTGGCTCTGCTTTTTAATGAAGGGTACATTGCTTTCAAGCCAACTGTTAAATCATTCTCCAGGTAAGAGTTTCATACCTTTGAAGTGTACATGTCCCTAAATGCAGTGCCTGAAGTTTTGTAACTAACCGCCTTGGCAGGCATCAAGGATCAAGTGGTTTGAAACTAATTTAGCATAAAATGTAGCCCACACACACATAATTGTGGTTAAAAAGACATACAGCTGCAGCGTTACTTCTCCGCCGGAGCATCAAAGTTAAACTTCTTTGTTTTATGATGCATTTTGCTTACAGCGTCGCATGAGCATTTTCATTTTGTAATAGTGGCAACAAAAAGATGGAACAGGCTCAGGTTTTCCTGGCATCTGAGGATTTCAATTTGGAGTTATAAGGTGGCAGGGGCCGTCCATTTAACGCTGCTCAACAGAAAAATTAAAGTTATTTAAACGTGGTGTTCAAAAATGTAACTTCTACTCTCATGTTCACGTAGTGGACAGCAGCTAGAGCCATTACTGGCTTCGCTGTGGAGTAGAAACATAGGAGGTGCAAAGGATGTGATTTATTTCGTTAAAAAAAAAAATCTGGATATGATTCGATTTAAAGCAAGTAATCGAAAAACAAATTGCAACCAGAACCTCTTGAATGGATAAGGAGGTTTCTAAATGAAAATATCAACTGTGCTAATTGTGTGAGCATTACATTTGTGACCCAGTATCTCCATTGTGTAATAGACATTGGTGTGCAAGCATTAGAGCCCCTTCATATTTCCATTCTAACTGCGAGCAGAGTGATCGAATATGAGGGAGTTAAATGAAAGCTCTTGTGAGTGGCACCTGTGCTGTACTTTCAGAAAGCCTCTTAGAGCGCTGGTGGATTGGTTTTAGCCTGAGCTGAGGTTCTCGCCTCCCTGGCACCTGCCTTGTGTCTTGCCAGAGCCGTGATGGGACCTGACAGCAGTTTGGCAGCCGCAATTCATTGTTAGGCAGTGATAACTTCATTTCAAGAGAGTATAGATTTGACTATTTTTAAATCCCTAAATGCTAGCTGATGCAAAGTTGTACAGGGGTTCTTTCGAATTCAAAGACAAGCAGTCCTGCTCATAGTAAAAAAAGAAAAAAAAATGGGAGAGAAATGGAAGCTAAAAGCCAGAAAGTTTAAGGGATTCTGAATCAGATATAGAGGATTATAGTGTATATTAATGCAGCCTGTAATTCAGATAGCATTTAGGACCAGAGTGTTTGTTTACCGCCTTCCTGTTCACGTTGATGGGAGCACTGTGACAAACATTTAGAGGATCAATAATCTCCGCTGTGGCCAGAATCAATTTCAAGGTTATAATTGAGTGGCTCATTTGGCACGGAATTGCTTAGATGTTTAATTTGTTTACGGTCATAACATCCTGACATGATTGTGGCAGGCTTTTCACTCGAAGAATAGGAACAGGTTTTCTTCGCGAAAAATGCAAAAGCATTCCGACAGCTGTGAAGAACTAAAGAGGCCTGTTTGTCCCTCTAGGCATTGTTTTGTAAAGAAAATGCTGGTACATGTTGGATGACAATGTTTCAGAGTATTTTCATCCTCAATCTAATGCATTCCCACTTATCTCCTCAAAGCAAAGGGAAATGGAAGAAAGATAGAGAGCTTGCTGTCAGAATCCCCTCTTTTGTAAGACGGAAATGTTTGTTTCTGCTGTTTTGAGCTCCCACAAATCAATTAATGATTTCCATTTGCTCTACTTCCTTTCTTTCGTTTTTTTTAATCTAAACATTAAAACAATTTGGTAAAACCCTGTTTTGAAGGCTCCTTATAAATTCTGAGATATGTTTTCTTTCATCTGTCAAACTTCTAAGACACACGGCTTGGATATTGCAGGTTGTGGGTTTTTATTCTCATTACAGTTTTTAAATATGTTTCAAAGCTGAAAGCCTTTGTTTTTAGATTAATTCGTGAAGACATGCTCAGATTTTTGAATAAACATATTATCCCTCTAAAGAAATGTTTATTATTGTCTACAGTGCATTTCCAAAGCTTCCTAATGTAGTTTAATAAATTATACAGACAGTTTCTTTTCTCATAAAGATGCCTGTTGATCCTCCTCAGCGCATTTAGATTTCTTTTCACATGCTTTAGAAGACACAAAACAATGTAAAAATCTTCTTGCCTCTAAAGTAGTCTTAATAGTTCAGTAGATTAAAAGGTGCAAGTCCTCCAATTAAGACTTGGTCTCCATCCTTTGATTACTGCACATTATTTTACTTTGCAGCAAGCTGCGTACGGGCTAATTAATTCTGTAATTAGCATAACAAGAAGTGACAGACACATACACTATAAACGGCTCAAAGCATGTCATGAGGCCTGATAGCATCCAGCAGCTCATATTTAGCAGATTGATTTTTCTGTTCCTGGTAAATGAGCTAGTATGAAAAGATTATAACTGATAAGTAGTAAAGAAAATCTTATGTTATCTTATGTTTATCTGTAGTCACTGTATCAAACAGGATCAAATGCAATAAAACCAAAGCAATCAAAGGGTTATACTTACTTTTTCACACAACTATAAGAACTGAAATCTACTCAATTTCTACATCTAACTCTACTTTTTGACTGGGTGCCACTTTAGCTCACATGGTCAGACTGCAGCGGCCCAGATTTGAGTCTGACCTGTTGACAAAACCCCCCAAAAGCTTAAATCATCCATTAAATCATCAGCGTCACACAAAACATTCAAAATTACTTCTGGAATTTGTGTGATTGTGATTTACATGTAACAGGAAGAGCAGTGGACCAACGATTGAGCCCTGTGGGACACCATAATAAGGTGCTTTCAATATCTAAATAAATATGATTTAAGCTACCAGGTTATCACACTCAAAAATTTTATATCCATACATCCATCTTTTCTATCCACCCTACTTGTTAACGATTCAATTCAGGGCCGCAGGGGTGGGAGCCCGAACCTATGCTGCTTGTCATTGGTTGGGAGACAGGCACACCTCTCGACATGTAGCCAGCTTACTATTACAAATTATTCCTAAGTCCTTTGAAGGGTTATTAGAACCATGCAATTTTTGGAACAATGTGTACTTATTCTATAATGACTGTACTCTAAATCGGACACTAATGTAAACTACTTTCTTTGCTGCACTAATCAACATTCTCATTGTAGTACTTCAATCAACATGAAAAATGAAATATCTATTTAATTAAACAGAGCCATTGATCTGTTTTTGAATGTATTCGTACATTTGCTTCATATACAGTAAGTGGGTATATTTCTTTACAAAAGACCATCGTGTTGTGTTAGCCTTTTATTGCCCCATGGCTGTCATCACAGTTATTAGAGTGGCATTAACATTTCAAAACAGAAACTCTCTGTAGTCTGCCACAAACATGGATGTTGGGTGTATTTCATGACTTCCAGGAGCTTAAGGATATGAAAAATGAAAAACTATGTTGCATTGCTGCTGGCCTCACCATCAGGATGGAAGCAGCCCCATGTACATGGCCACAAGTACAAAGAAGGTGTCTTAAAAGACAGTTTTTCTTTTCAGCCTATGCCCTGCAACAGAAAAACCACCACCAACAACAAACTATGCACGACCCAGTATGTTTTAGACCAGAGGCTGACCGGCATTGAACTTTTAAGGCCTATACTGGTATTTGGTGATTTAATTGGGTATCGGAACTGCTACATGTAGTCTGGATTGACCTTTTGTCGTGGAGCTTTCTTGTTATGCCACTTTGAGCAATAATAGCGTGCTACATCCAAACTGTTTAAAAATGAATCCCTCCTAATAGATCGTATTGTAATTAGCCATATGAATATGTATTAACTGGAGCCATTTATAGTTTCTGTAGCTTTTGAACATGCGGATGGTTATAACATCCCTCATTATGTTCTAGCTTGCATTTCAATAGTGCAGCTGCTGAAAGGAAAAGCCCCACTGTCCTTGAAATCTACCCTTTGGAAAGCCTCGCTTAAACGCTGTGAAACAAAGGTGGCGCGGCATTTTGTCAGAGGAGACATGGTGGCTTAGTTGAAACAAAGAGCTGAACTAAGAGTGTTTCATGATATTTATGTTATTTAACACCTTTTTTCTTCTCGCCACCTTCCCCCCGCCATGCCCTGTGTTTGTAATCAAAAAATTAATGAGCGGTGCTTTTGTGGAAAGTAGGCTTTATCAGATTTTGACTTTCCCCGCCCCACATCAGAGAAGGAGTCTGACTCTGCGAGCCCCCCCAGGCCACCTCGCAGAGAGTTCAGGGAAACTCTCCTCTTTGTTCATTTTTCCTTCAGCATAAGCAATTTATCACTGAATGAACTTTTATTGTATCTCTGGATGACTCACATTAAATTTTCGCCCATTAATTTTGAAATGGATTTTGAAATGGGTACTAAGCTTTTATCAAATGCCTGGGAATCTCATTTGGATTATTGTATTTCATTAATTACTTGATAGACAAAGCATACTTTTCAATGTAGATTTGTGTGCTGTTTAATTAATTAGCATGTTTTCTCTTTTAATTAAAGCCATTTTTTTTTAAATTAAAGCCCACAGCAAAACACATATATAATTTGTTTGTAATTAGGCCTTAATTGGTGGTAGTGGAAGCTTAGCACCCTTGGTTTCTTTTTTCATGATTGCCATTTTATTGCCAGTCACTCATTAATTAAACAGTTTTTTTCTAATTAGCTTATAAAACTGTTGATGGCATATTATTGTAAGTGTGAGTTCAAAGCTTGCTAATAAGCCTACCCTACTCAGAGGAGGCGAGATAATGAAATGGCACAAAGCAGAC